GGGATTTAAAAATAAATAGAAAAATTATACATACATGCATACATACAAACATACATACATACCTACAAACAAACATACATACATACATACTTACAAACAGACAAACAAGCAATCAATCACAAACATACACATAAACAAGCCAAACATACATACATACGTTCATACAAACATATATACTACATAAAAGTTTTTATCTACATACATATATGTAATTAAATAAACATCATTATGACGTCATTGTGATTATCATCATCATCATTCTCCCCATCATCATCATCATCATCGATTTTTTGCAGGTTGTACAAACACATGTTGTACTGTAATGTATTGAGCAAAACGTCAGCAGTTGGATAAATGTATGTATGTATGTATGTATGTATGTATGTGTGTGTGTGTGTGTGTGTGTGTGTGTGTGTATGTATGTATGTATGTATGTATGTATGTGTGTGTGTGTGTGTGTATGTATGTATGTATGTATGTATGTATGTATGTATGTAAATATATGTGTGTATGCTTGTATGTATGTACGTATGTATGAATGAATGGATGAATGAATAAATGAATGAATGAACGAATGAATGAACGAATGAATGATAAGAAATAAGGACAGCAACAAAAACATCAATAGCAACAACAACACAACAATAACAACACCAACAACCAAAACACCAACATAAATAACCTTTTGTTCAATGCAAACTGATTCACATTTCTGGCATTTATTAATTATTTTATTATCGTTATTATTATTATTATTATTGTTGTTGTTGTTGTTACTATTATTTTTAGTAGTAGTAGAGTTGTTGCTATTATTTTTATTACACCTATAATATCCAATGCCATATATTTTAGCTCTGTTATTATTATTATGATTATTAGTAGTATTAATACTAGCTGTATTAATAGTAGTAGTAGCAGTAGTAGTAGTAGTAGTAGCAGCAGCAGTAGTAGTAGTAGTAGCAGTACATGTGTTATTATTTTGATTGTTTTTATGATTATGTGGTTGAAGGCGATGATGCTGATGATGATGTTTAATGATATTATTATTGCTATAATTATTATTACTATTGCTATTATTTTTATTGTTGTTGTTGTTGTTGTTGTTGTTATTTTTATTATTATTATCGATTGACATCATCCTGATCAACATTGCATCTCGTTCGTCTTCAACTTTTTTCAAAGCCGCTTCCAACTTTTTCTGGTTTTCCTGCGTGTGTTTGTTTGTTTGTTTGTATGTTTGTATGTATGTATGTATGTATGTTTGTATGCTTGTTTGTATGTTTGATTGCTTTTTGTTTAATATATGACTAAATGTCATTTGACTGACTAAAATGTATAAAAACAGATGATTAAAAATGAATGAATGTATGAGTGAATGAATGAATGAATGAATGAATGAATGAATGAAAATGAATGAATGTTTGAATGAATGAATGAATGAATGAATGAATGAATGTTTGAATGAATGAATGAATGAATGTTTGAATGAATGAATGAATGAATTGAGAATTGAATAAATGAATGATTGATTGATTGAATGAATGTATGTATGCTTGAATGAATGAACAAAAAAATGAATGAATAAAAAGTAAATTTAAATAAAATATTTGAAACAAAACCTGCCTAAAATTAGCACCTATACTAGAACTCATTTGAAACAAAATACAAGTATTAATATCAAAAATAATATGTATGTATGTATGTTTGTTTGTTTGTATGTATCTATGTATGTATGTTTGTATAAACATACATACATACAAACATACATACATTTACATACATACATACTATTACATGTATGTAAGTATGCATGCATGTGTGTGTGTGTATGTGTGTATTTATGTCATTATAGAATGTCTGAAGAGGCTTATTGTTAATTAACATCTACTTTCCCACATAACATTTTCATCGTCATCATCACCACCATGATCACCATTATTTTTATCATCATCACAATCATCTTTATCACCATCATCTTCATCATCATCACCCTCATCATCATCTTCACCATCATCTTCATCATCTTCATCTTCATCACCAACATCATAATCATCTTTATTACCATCGTCGTCATCGTAAACATCTCGCACGCGATTTTTTTTTCATGTTTTTGTTCATGTGACACAAAGAAACAATCAAACAAATGAACAAATAAACAAACGAGCGAACAAACTAACAAACAAACAAACAAACAAACACGTAACATGTTGCTATATATCGTTCCGTAGAATTAGGTTGAGTGAGATGAAAAGAACAAAGGAGAAATAGAGAGAAGGAAGGGAGAGAAATAGAAAAAGAATGACAAGAGGGAGTGAATAACTGAACGTAAAAAACAGAACTATGAGACTGAAAGAGAGAGAGAGAAAGAGAATGAAAGAAAGAAAGAGAGAGTGAGAGAGTGAGAGAGAGATAGAGTGAGAGAAAACAAACATAGAGAAAAATAAATACAAAGATAAATTGAAATATTACAAATTAGGCGGGATGCGTGAATGAAAGAAGACTAAGAGTAAAACGAAAGAGAGAGAAAGAGAGAGAAAGAGAGAGAGAGGGGGAGATATAGAGTGAGAGACAGAGAGAGAGAGAGAGAGAGAGAGAGAGAGAGAGAGAGAGAGAGAGAGAAATAAAGAAAACATAAGTGCAAAGTAAATCATTAGGATATTTTTTAAATGTAATGTTACAATATTTGCTCACGTACCCGTGTATGTATGTATGTATGTATGTATGTATGTATGTATGTATGTATGTATGTATGTATGTATGATTGTATGTATGTATGTATGTATGTATGTATGACCTAGAATTGTTTATAATCAAGTTTTAACCCTTCATTCTTTCTATGTCTTATAATTTATCCTCCTAATTATTTATTACGGTTCAC